TCATTCTGAAAGAGAAAGTTCTGTTTATCCTCATTCTGAAAGAGAAAGTTCTAATAACAAATTAAACTCTTGTCTAAACTTGGCTATTTTTGGGGTATCCCACTATTGAAAAGAGCTTCCTTCTCAAGCTCTGTCTCATTACATGTTCATCTCACCTGATCAAGAGGAATACATGGATTTGCAATATGGTCTCATGCAGACTTCTTTTTAATGTATGTGACTGCAGAAAGCCTCCATATGGATAAGGCAGCACACCCATGAGTACATTAGCCCTTGGGGCAGTTACTACCCCTGATCAATAAGAAAGGCATGCAGAAAAATGGTGTAACTTCCTAACTGAGCACTAGAGAGAATGTTTTTGGGGGTGCCATGGATGTTTTCTTACCTTTTTTTTCCTGCAAGTGGGAAAAAAGACCCCTTAAGGAACACAGACAAACCAAAGGACTCAGGTCCTGGTAATAACACTTGATATAATCATATCTCACTTCACTGTGCGGATCTCTGGAAATAAAATGCACCCAAGAATTAAGAGACTCCCTTTCAGGTAGAGGGGGGAATACATACAGATGTAAAGTTTTCAAGTTGTTTGCCCCTTTAAAAAACCCTAAAGTTTGGGCTTCAAGTTGACTCAATTAAGAAAAAGAAATGTGAATGCCACCATTCTTGTTTTCAACGCTCATTCAGTTATACTCTGTCCACTAAGAGCTCCTGAGAGGAGAAAGATCTATCACTGGAATGCCATCATGAGATGCCAACATGATGCCTGAGTGCCAGAGCTCAGACAGCTCAGAACAGAACAGGCCACATGGAATTGGTCCCCATTCACCAAGCAAAATTTTGAAACAAACAGCTATGGGTTTTTTCTCTTTTTTTTTTTTTTTTTTTGTGAACTAGGCACAGCACATACAAACCTGTCTTCAGCTGCTAACCTTAATATATTACTCATTCTTCCTTTCAAATAACGTCATTTTCAAAACCCCAGTGACTGAAGAATATTTACTTGAGGCTGCTACTGCTGGTTTCTCCAGAGTTGTTTATTTTTCCATGCAGGGGCTCATTACATCATTCTGTGGTTTTCTTAAAGGTTGTCACGGTAAGCTGGATACAGGCTGGAAACTCTTGCTAACTAAAACCAAATCACTAAGTAGCACAAATGAATTTGGAGATAACCCAGCTCTGGAAGTGAGGAAAATCCCTGGATTCCTCAGTGGAGATGGGGTGCTCCTAACCAAGCAGCTACTAGATTTCTTGGAAAAGAAATTATCAAACGCTTCCCTGGATTAAGAACTTCAGAAAATAACCACACAGGCTGAAATAGGTTGGGGGTGAGGGGAAGAGGCTGAAACAGTAAAAGTAGAATGAAAAGACAGTTGCCAGCCATGCTGATTAGAGAACAGCCATTGCAAGAACCCCACCTGAATCACCTCCTGCTCTGGCGGTGTTAAAAACAACACAGAGAGCAGTGCTAGGTAACTGTCTTAGCTTAAGGTATCCATGGGCATGCACATGTGGATGTGCGTGTTTGGGAAAGGGGAGAAGCAGCAAAAAATATTTTTGTCATGTTGCCACAACAACATGGTGTTGATCTAGGCCTTTCACTTGCCTCAAAAAGAAAAATTCGGGACTTGCAGGATTCATACAGACAGAAAATGTAGTTTTTAAGTGTAGAAAAAACAACTCTTCTGCTGTGCAACAGCCCAGATGTTCCTATTTTGGTTCCTGCCTCTGGCTGAGAAGGTTTGAACCCACTGAGAAAAGGGTGCCATTTAGTTCTTTAAGGTGGGCTGGAGTAACAGCACTAGCAATCCCTCCTAGCAATGCTCTTTTACTGAGCATAGAAAAACTCACTGGCAAAATGCCTGGAGACATATAGATTCTCAGTCAAGTGCTCTAATCACCAGGCTGGAGTCACTCTGCTTTTCCTGATCCCTGGCTTAATTAGGATTTACACATGCCAAACAAAATGTAAGTGCTCCAAAAAAAAAGAGATCAGTTTCAGAAGAACCTCTTCTGTTTGTCAACACTAAACAGAAGATGAAATACTCAGATTTCAAATGCAGCCCTTACAGGAGACAGGCAGCATATATTACACGGGGTGCCACCAGCTCTGCAATGCTCAGCTGCCTGGTGGGTGGCTCACCTAACACTGACCAGAGACAATGACAGCAAATTAAAGAGTCTATTTGACTCCATATAGCAATTCTGAAATTCTCCTTGTGGCTGACATAGCAATGGTGCTTGCTTTCCAAGATGTCCGGTGTCAGTGCTGATTAGAGAACAGCACACATCCTCTGACAGCAGTACCTGAAAAGGACAGGGCCATATAATCACCACAGGGAGAAGAGACATCAGAGCTAAGTATTTCACTATACAAACTCCAAGGAATAGGAAGTAAAAGAAGAGTTAGGCTGGATATTACAAAAAGAAAAAAATCTGAGACTGAATTCAGAGAGCAGAGCAATTTCCTTTGGGAAGAAATAAAATCTTTATTATCTAAGGCATTTATGGTACAGTAGAAAATGCTGCTCTCCTTACAGTATAAACATTCACTAGCCCTAAGGCAGTAGATTAGATGACCTACCAGGTCTTTACTCTTTTCTCACTTCCAGTTTCAGTGATATCATTAAACTGCTGCAAAAGCATACAAGACTGTCTCTGCTCCAAGACTGTAAGCGTAAGCTTGGATACACAATATGGCTGAGGCAACAATAAACTGAAGAATTCAGATCTTGTGCTAGCAAAACTTACCCTAACCCTTTAAAAATAAATTTTTAAAATGGAAATGTGCTAAGCATTAGCATTTAAAGTTGGGCCAAAGGCAATTAAAAACATCCCCCAGTTTTGCATGCCCATTTCATGACAGCTGTTTCATCATCTACAGCCAAGACAGACTCGAAGACACTTGAAGAAACATGATTCTAAATTATAATTATCCCCCCCAGTTCTCTGCAGATTGATCCTACCTACTGTACATTGCCTTTAACATATATTACAAGGGATGAAAAGAATGAAAGATACCAAACAAGGTGATTAGGCTTCACTATTTGAAAAAAAAAAAGGCTGAAGTAGCCCACACTTTATGACACCTAAACCACAGCTCTAGGCAGTATTTCATAGTAATTTGTGAGAAACTGAAATGGCTGTGTATCTGTATGGCCCAGTGGGGAAATCTGGGGATAAAAGTAGGCAACCTAGTCTTTTAACAAGACCTTACAGCAAGTAAGCATCAGAGCAATCAGTAAGGCTGAGTCAGATGAACCACGTCTCCTTTTAGCTTGCTTATAAACCACCTTTTACACAGCTCTTGAATTTTCCACAAGATCATTTATTTATCATTTCTAGCATGCACTCACAATAATTTTGTCTGAGTAACAGAAGTGACATCAGAAACAATTGAAAAAAGTGAGCAAAAGCAAAGTCACACAAGGAACCCTTCTGGACAAAATTCCAGTTCACATCAGGCAGCTTCCTGACTAAACAATCGAAGTGATTGCCTTTACAACATGCAAGCCAGCCTACTTTGGCTCTGTCAGGCCAAGAAAGGGTGAAAGACAGATCCTCCTGCTCCCAAGTCCCTTTGCAACCCCTTAGCACTCACTCTTCTTTCCATTACAGCTATGAGGTTTTTTGTATTAGAAGGAAAGCTGGTCTCCAAGATAGGTAGGACCCATTACAAAGGATTTTAATATTACACTGTCACCTTCAATTGTACTGTCAGTTGCTGGTTGTCCCAGCAGCTGACAAAAAACAGAAGCTGTGTTTGCTCTCCCCTGAAAGACATCCTTAAAGAAGGATGCTGATACTCACACATCATCTGAAGCTTCTCGATGACTCTTGCTGGCAGATCCTACACAGACCACCCTGCTGCAAAAACAGCTGGGAGGTGAAGCTCAAGAGACTTGTTAAAACTGTGGTCTGGGTAATGCTGGCTGTCCTCCTGCCAAGAGCTCTTCATTCTGCAGCAAGAGAGTTTCACCCAACCTAGCACTGATTTCACCCTGCAGCTTGGAAGTGGCAGAGGAAGGTTAAAGGAACTGTCATGAATACTCTCTAGCTAATCCAGAAATACCAGATGATGAGGCACTCCAAGATATCACAATTTATCTGTTTAGGTGACTGGAATTATTCCAACAGCCGTTCTAGACATGTATGCTTCATAAAATATATGCAATAGTAGAATCTCCTATTCAAATCTTAAAGTAAACCCATGGCTTCTTAAAGCAATTTTGTTCTCTTATATTCCCTTTAATTTCTTAATTTCTCCCACCTCAGTAAAAATATCAGACAGAAACCATTCTTACTAAGAATCCCTAACCTTCCTCTTCAGATCCTCCAGTTTCTTCTCATTTCAATGACTCCACTCCACCATTTCACCTGCATCTCCAATCTCAAATTTTACACTCTGACTTTGTGTCTTCCTGCCTCCCCTTTTCCCACTCATGTTCATGATCTCTTCTTTGCTGTTTTTTAGGCTTTGGTCTTCCCCCATCCACTCCACTACACACAAAACAATCTCAACATTTTCTTAGGCTCACACACAATTAAACCACCTTTAGTTGTGAAATAATCTGCTAATTTCTCTGTCAAAAAATATCCCCTGCAGAGAAGAATCTTGAATTCACTAGCAAAGAAGCCCCTTTTTGTAATTTTTGCAACTGCTTAGACCAAAATGACAGCCCAGATCTTTCAGCCAAATGCTTCAATTCATATATCCATGCTGAACAGCAAACAGAATAAAGATGACAGATGACTAAAATGAATTAACAGATTAAGAAATTAAGAGATTCCCCAGTAATGGTTTGTGGAAACAAACATCCTTCATCACACATTGATTATGGCCCTTTGGTCACATAAAAGGATCTTATCTGAAATTACTTTATAGCCTGGGCTGCAAGTAACCCTAGCAGCTTGATAACTACAAATAAGAAAGAATGAAACAAGAACAGATGTGAGGAGTTGCAGACTAGTTAAAATAATAATTTTTTTAGATGGAACATTACCTGAATTCCTTATATTAGAGCTGTTCATTTTGGAATCTTTGATGACCAAGTGCTTAATCCAAAGGGTGGGTGCTGTGATTTCTGAAAGAATAAAAATAATAGCCTTAAAGAAACTGCAGCAACTAGTAAAAATACACATGATAGTTACTCAGAATCACTGAATGGTTTGGGTTGGAAGGGACCTTAAAGAACATCTTATTCCCACTCCCCTGGCATGGGTAGGGACACCTTCCAATATCCCAGGCTTCTCCAAGCCCCATCCAACCTGGTCTTGAACACTTCCAACAATGGGGCAACCACAGCTTCTCTGGGCAATCTGTTCCAGTGCCCCACCACCCTCACAGTAACGAGTTTTTTCCTCATACCTAATCCAAACCTACTCTCTTTCAGTTCAAAGCTGTTCCCCCTTGTCCTGTCACTACATGCTCTTGTAAAAAGTCCCTCTCCAGCTCTCTTGTAGGCTGGCTTCAGGGACTGGAATGAGCTAGAATGTGTCTTCTGAACAACCTCAACTCTCTCAGTCTCTCTTCATAGAAAACAGGATGTCAGCTACAATCATGCCATAACTGATCTGTCATCTTTGTACAGAGAGGTGCATCCCCTGGTGAGCTCTTCCAATTCTTATGAACCACCATCTGTAAATCTTCCACAAGGTTCTCTCATTATCTTCCTGTTTCAGAAAATATATATCTGCTGGCAAAACATTTTTTTTCCTCCCTCTAATCCCCACTTCCTAAATTCTCAAAAAGCCTTTTTCCTCAAGACTCAGAGATCACAAACATTGCATTGGGTGCTATAGTACATGCTGTTTCACCCAAAAGTGCATATGAAATCCAGATTTTAAATAGTCAATCCAGACCTTAAGTATTGCTTTAACAGCCCAAGAAGGTCTGGCCACAGTCAGTTCCCTGAAACAAGCAACAACAAAATCCGAAATAAATAGGCAGAGACATGAAGATATTTCTGGAAAGACTTGAAAGGAAGTCTATTAAAGAAATAGGTTCTGGTTAGAAAAGCATGTCTGATGCACTAACCAAGACATCCAAACATAAATTTGTGGGAAAAGTGCTTAGAGCACCTCCTCTGAGGTGTTATAATCAACTTCAAAACATATCTGAACCTGCCCTAAGCCACAGAAATGACATAACCTCAGCATTTGATTAGAACTGAGCAAAGCAGTATTTGCTACCATGGACACCTCATGTGACATTTTCAGGACTGATAGCTTCTGAAAAAAAGTTCAGTTTCCACAAGAACACAACTTAAATAGTGCATCCTGAGGTTTTTCTTAAGTTCCTCTAAGAACTTTTCACATGAGTTTTCCTGCTTTCTTGTTGACATTTACATGGATCTGCTCAGCAAAGGGAGAAGATGGCTGAGTAAAGAGAAACTGATTATAAATTACAAGAACATGAAAAAAAAAAAGAAAATTAATTTCTCCTCCATAAATATTTTCAGCCACATTGACTGAAGGCATCATAGTAATTGTGTTCAGGGCATTTTCTTTACAAGGAACTACAGGTTGAACACGGTTAAACAAACTTTTACTGCTGCTGACATACAAAAAAATTGCCTATCTGCCAGTTTTACTACACTATTTTATCAACATTCAGCCATCATATGCTTTCATAAATACATATACCAACATGCTTTGGTTTAGGGACTATTTCTACTTTTGTGTATCTTCCCCTCCTAGTGCTTCCCCAGTGTTTAATCTGAGGCAGTTCTCCCCAAAACAGGCTTAAACTCCTATATTTGGGATGAAATTTAGCTCTTAATCTGCACCATATGGACCAGGTATGTCTACAGCTGAAAAATGAGGGACAATCAAAGTCAATAGGTGCTGAAGAATGATGAAGGCCTTTAGAAATACAGTGGTGTACATCTTTCAGTGAGGCTGAAAGGTGCCCAAAAAGGAATTCTGTGAAAAAAGAGAAAGATAAAGAAAAGGAAATTAATTTCTTGGAATCTACCATAAAAGTGTATTTTCAATCCAGGTAACTGAGATTTCTTTTTGGATTACAGGCACCTCTGAACAACAGATCTGTGGAAAGAGTAGATTCTCACTGAATTAAGAGGCGAAGTTTACCAAAAGTAAGAGATGTGTAAAGAAGATATCTTTAGGAAATTATTACACCTTGCACATGGTGGAGGGTGCAAAATGGTGAAAACAAAATAACAGAGCCTGGAAGTGCAGGAGGGAATATAAGATTTTAAAACTATACCAAGGACATTAACAAAACACTCTTCAGCAGAGGAGAATCTTGTCCTAAAAAAAGATTCACTATAAACATTTCTAAGATCTGCATTATAATAATATGAAATAATTTTTAGAGAGATGGCTGTGTTATGATTCAAACCTTGGATGGGAGAGTTTAAGTTATCTGATTTACATTATCTCTAGCACTGCTCTGTTATGCCCCCAGGGAAGATGGTAGGGAGTGGGAGGGGAACTTATGCATGAAATGTGAATTTTCATTATCCTCTAATGTAGATGAAAACATGGGAAAGGTGAATCTTCATCTTAGAGCTGCTGAATTCCAAGAGGTATCACACATTTCAGGGGCAGCTGAGTGTATGTAATGCCCTATGAAAAAAGTCAGCCCCTTGTGTATGGAAGGTAGGCAACAAAATGCAAAACATTAAAAAAATCCCAACATTGTTATTGTCTACTCATGCTGATACCAGCTCCACCCTGGCTGCCTGACTTTGAATAGACAGGTTTACAGGATCCCATCAGCTCCCAAATTCACTGAAGTGGAATGTGATCTGAACTTTAATGCCTTTGAACATCTATGAAGATTTCAGACCTGACAGGTGAAAGGATAACTGTTTTTTATCATTTTTGTCAGACACAAAGTACAAGCCATTCCTCAGGAAGACCTGCCCAAGCCACTGGGAGAGTCTTCTAGTGAAGTATTACAACATGTTTGCTTGGATAGGATCAAGAGATTGTTCAGGATGACTTCCTGAGGTGTCTGGTCCAACCTTCTGCTCCAGACAGGGTCAGCTTCCAGAGCAGAGCAGGTTGCTCAGTACTTTAGAATCAGAGAATATCCTGAGCTGGAAGGGACCTGTAAGAATCACTAAAGTCCAGCTCCTGGTGCTGCACAGGACACCCCAAGAATCACACCGTTAATTGTTTATTCTTACAGCCACCACTGAAATCTACTTAGTCCTATTTCACTAATAGAGATTACAAAATATAGAGTGACAAATTTCGAAGAGATTATTTGTCGATGCATAGCCTGATTAACCTGCCTGTCCATCCAGAGTCAGGCCATGGCACTAGTCATTCCCTCCCAAAGTCCAGGAGATAAGGTCTTGAATAATACATTGCAATGTTTTTGAGAGCCAATCTCTCATCGTTCAGTCCAAGCCCATTTATTAGACTGGAGTTCACCTACAAATCAATGTGAAGGTTTTTGCTTGAAAAAGTTTTTCATGGAAAGTAGAATAACACTTTTTTTCAGATTCTGCTCATCACCAGAAAAGGCATGTTCACTACACCACTTCAAGAACTTTGTCCAGTTCTATTTGAATGACCAAAACATTGAAACTCTCCTAGAAGGAGCTTCTGACCAGGCTGTATTAACCACATCATCTCACTCCTGCATTCTACTAGCACATTCTTTCCTTTAAATATCTATGGGTACCCTCTCAGGGGAAAACTTTAAGGTCAGAAGTTTGTGATTGCCAACAGTAATTTAATACAATATCAGCTTACTGCCAGGAGGAACCCTCTTTTGATATAAACAAGAGAGAGCCAGCATGGCTTCAGTCTCCTTTGTTTATTTGAGAGTGTTTTTTTTCTCTGAGAGCTTTACTGTTTCTTAAAGCTCACAAGAAGATTGTAACAAATCTACCATCACTAAATACGAAGTGATAGGACTACAGCATCTTGCCATTAAACATATGTTTATTTTAGCAACAATAAAACCCCACCACAGCACCCATTTCTACAAGAAAGCAGGAAATATCAACAGAAAAGTACCTCCTGCTCTTGCTCAGTAGTCTCCATTTCTGCCTTTGATCCAGCTTAAAAAAGGCATGAAGTACACCAGTCCCCTATGAAAATGCATAGGCTTTCCCTCACTGCCTTATGGTCTACAGTTTCAGATGGGTGACAGAGTAGTTCATACTTCTGCCCATAGCTTCACTATAATGGTTGTGGGTTTAAACCTGTAGAAAACAGGCACTACTTCCAAGCAATATGCAAGATATAAGCAGCTGCTGTTAGGCCCATTCACTACCAAAGGAGCATTATTCCCACTGGTCTTTATGTCTGTACGTGTAAAAGGCTTGAACCCTCTGTGATGACAGCCATTTTATCCTTGTTTAAAGGCTTCCAACAGACTAAGGTCCAATACTCTCTCTCCAAAATAATACAATTGCAAGATTGCCTGTTTGAGAAGGAAACTGCCTGGGTGGGCCATGAATTAAGTGGGCCCAGGACAATGACTTCATTTGCTTAAATAGTATGTGCGTCAATGAAAGCATTTGCTAAATAAAGAAACCTCCCAGCAATTTTTTTCCAAGTCAACATTCACAAGATGTGGTTTAGCATTACCCTTCCTTTTGTGAAGCTGTAACACATTGCAGAGGTTATGAAACTCCCAGCATTAGTATCACCAAAGTGGAGATAGTAAGGGGATAAGGACAGTCTAAAGGAAGTGGCCACTTCTGATTTGATGCACCTTTTTTTTCTTGCTGGGACACACTCTTTCCTCCAAGATTACACCAGGAGTCTGATCAACTGGTGTTATTGCTGGATTCCAGAAAAGTGGGGAGGATGTAAAAGGATTAGGGAAAATGCCTGAGGTCCCAAGGGCATTCTAAAATTTGGATAAATTATGAGATTCACTGGCTTGTCTGCTTTGCAGGATATAGAAAGCATTTGAACCATAAATCCTAGAGAAAAGGGAGAGGTAAGTAGCTTTTTTTGTTGTTATTTTAAGAGATGTTCTTACCTTCTCCATCGAAAATAGGCTGGGTTTCCATGGTAGGCGTTGGCTTCGAACCATCATCTGAATTGAGGGTTAGAAAGAATCGAAAAGAAACTACCATTATTGAGGTAAATACTATCTACTCTCCAGTACTGTTGAATGATTGGGATTTGTACATGGCCCGGCCAAGTCCAGAAGAGAGAGAAGACAGACAGAACAAAATCATTTTATGCTAAAAGCAATAACATTTTACATAAAATATGCATCAAGCCCTTTTGGTACACTTAAAAAAGCCTCCCCCCTCCCTCTTCAAACCACTGGTGTTTATCACCTGGTAGTCTCCCCAGAAGGCAATTAATTGCCTTTTTAGTTTCAGGTCAGTTTAGTTTTACACAGGCCATTTCCTGAGACAGCAAAGGTTCTGGAGATTGCTGTCCTGTTGCGTCTTTCTCCTCATTCCTTTTGTTCAAAAGAAAAATTCTTCTTCTGAAACTTACCTGTGTAGAGTTGGCACCAGCATTTACTGCAGAGCTGTTAGAAGGGGATGGTCAATAGCAAATCTTTTTTATTCACAATGACTGCATCAAGGTGTTCTCTAATTGCAATGTGGTGACAATATCTTCCAACGGAAAATTGTGGAACAATAATTTCTCTTACATTAGGTTTAGGTTTAGTTGAGTCTGTTTTGCCCATGACAGTATTTGGTGAGTGATCTCTCCTGGACCTTAAGTCACAAACCTTTGATACATTTTCTCCCCAGTCCAGTTCCAGAGCACAGTGACAGAGCAGCTTTGGTGAATGCCTAGCATCTAGCCAGGGTCAGCCTACTACACCTAGAATTGGGCTTTTTTTCCTGCTTGAAATATAGTGACTTAAAACCTCTGATTTCTAGTAACTATTCTTTGCATGTGTTATTGGCAAGAATGACACTAAGCAGCAAAGTGGGCAGGAACCTAAAATGTAAAGTTGCACAGTGAAAATCTGTTGGAGGGAGGAGTCCATGCCAGAAAAGCCAGGCTTGCCTCTCTCCATGACCATCAGATGCACAGGGCAATTTCCTTTCTTTGAAGGAAATGTACATGGGACAGTCCTTGCTAGAGGAGGCAATAACTGCCCTTACCCTTCTCTCATACCAGCTCCATTTACAGAAGTAAGAGACCATTGGAAAAGGAAGGGAAGGGCGGAGATGGGAAACAGAAGCTTGTAGACTTTTTCCACCCATACCTGTATTTGCAGGTTTTTTTAAGTGAGGAAAAGCTTGAACACCTCTTGCGCTTTTCATTTATTTTATGCGTTTCCAAACAAAGTAGTCTAGTTCATAGAAAGCAAAAAACATGCTGATAATTCCATTTTGACCTCAGAGATCCACTGAAGTAAAGGACATTGACAGAAATGAGACACCCTGTTGTCGTGTTCCTCTTCATCACTGTGGTTTTATGCTAAACTGCAAGTGTAACAAAAAATACTTAGAAGAAAAAATACTCACCATTCCTCAGTCAGCTCTTGTTCTGAGCTTTTCTGTTACTGGGCATTACCAGTAACCTGGATAAGCAGTATTCATTTTTTTTAAAGTTTGAGCAACTGATTTGGAAAAAAGTCCTGAATATTTCTTAAATTACAAAGAGGAAGGTTTTGCCCTTTAAAGGCTCTTTGGATAGAAGTAAATAGCTGATCTTCACTTTTTATTTTAGAATAGGTTGCTCTGCTTTTGCAAGACTCCAGCAGCCACAGCTATGGTTTGTTATTTATTTAGGATGGCACTTTACACTGTAACAAAGCAGTGAACAGAATGGCTTTAAAGACTGAGAAACCAACCCCAAACTGCTGAAGACACTCACAGAACAACTAGAAAGGTGAATAATTCTCAAGTTATACAAAACAGGAAGAGACCTGGTGTTAAAAAAAGACCAGTGCAATAATAAGTTTCTTATTGCTCTTATGAATGCTTCTGCACCAAGTAATTACAGAATTGCTTTTCAGATTTAAAGCAGCAACCTGGAAGCCAACAATGGGGGGAAATTAGAAGTGGATCTGAGCCACAGCGCTTGATCCAAATCACTATTTGAAATTTGGCAGAACACAGGATGTTTCAGGTTCAGGGGGATTCTTTCACATCCATGTATGTGCAAGGAACACAGCAGCAATTACAATTTGTCAAATACATTCTTCTTAAAGAGAATTCTGCAGCAGCTTTTGTATGAAGTTAGCCATTAAGCTACTGGAGAGTATTAAACAAACCCTTCAGTTCAAAGCCATTGTTTAAGATAATCTCAGTAAAATGGCTCAGTGGATTACACAATCATTTCCTTACTGGATTACTAAGGCCAAATTGTCACTAAGTCCACATTGTAGCAGCACCCAGCACAGTATTAAGGGTTTTGCAAATAGAGAGAAGTATAATTACTCCCCTGTTGTTCAAGGAAGTACAGTTCTTTCATCACACATACAAGAAAAAAATGCAATAGGCAATAGCCCTGTAATTACATTCACCATATTTCAAAAATCAAAAGCCAGGGATATTTCTGATTGTTTTTTAAAGGTCATGAAATAGTCAATAAAAGACAAAAATTGCACTTCATTAAAAACACCATGCTCACTTCCCAGCTGCCAGCTTCTTACTCTGAAACTACCAATTTCTTTTCTTAAACTGGAGAATTCTCAGCAAGTCTCAGTGTTCCAAATTCGCTTACGTCAAGTTTCACTGCTGTTCCCTCTCAGCAGACAAACCACCCTAATACTTGCCTGCTCTTATGTGATTTTTCCTCTCGCTCAATACTCCATTTGTCACACTGAACATTTGTTCCACTGGCCTGTTTGCTCCCCACAAACAAGGAGCAAATAAGTTCTATTTTACCTCAAAGGTTTGAAAAACCATTTGTATTCCTTAAATAAAAATTTCAACATAGAACAAAACCCTTAACTATTCCAGAGGCCTAAGGTCTCCTGTGACACTATATGAGAAGTACAGAATACTGTTACTTTGGGTACAAAGGTAATGAAGTATGTTCACTGGGTACAGTCTCTTCCTTTCTTCAAAGAGCTGTTAAATTCCACACTTTCAAAAGAGGCATGCCACTGCAATAGTTCCTTATACACAGCATGTCACAGAGATTAAAGAGATCAAGTGTTACTTCCTAATCCCTCTAGATAGCAACGCTGCCAGATCAGAACTCATGTAATTCAGAACCACATCCCTTGGCTGCAGAATCTTTTCAGAGCCTTGAGGAGGAGTTCACTTGCATACTTCTCTTCCAAGTTTTATAACCCAGCATGAATACTCACTTTCTTTTCCCAAGACCCCTGTCTACAGACAGTATCACTCAGCAGAATACCTCCTCATGGGACATTTTAAAGCTAAAAAACTGCTCTAGTAAGTGTCCTTTTCCTAGGGTACACTGGCAAAAGTTAAGCAGATTTTTCTGGCTCAACTGCTGTCAACTTTAAAATGGTATTTTTATCTTGCCTCAGGACAAGAGTGAAACAGGCAGGTCTAAATAAGATTCCCTAAGAAATTTTCACATTAAGCTATCTGGGATATAAACTAGAATTCCACTTCCTCTACTACTATAAGAAGCTCATAAGCAGAAACAGTTTTTATTGCACTTGACTGACATTGACTTGAAACTGGGACAATTACTTGCACATCCTGAGCTACTACTAGTGCTGGGCAAGAACTCTTTATGGTCTCACTAGAATAACCTTCCCCATGTCTTATCCTTGCAAAACATCTAGCAAGCATCCACATCTGCAATGACTGTAGTGTACAGTGGGGTTGAGTGAGAAGGAGATCCAGTTCATGCAAAGGACACCTGCTGAAGTGACCATTTTACTCTGAGTGACAAGCACTAGGCCATGAGTCAGGAGAAAAGTAAACTCCTTGACATAAAAAGCATTATTACTATGGAAAAATGTGAAGTAACTGCCTGCTGCTGTGAATTACCATTCTTAACTCAAGCCACCTAATGGAAGGTGTAGAAAGGGGAAAAGTTAGGAGATAAAAGTATACTGAAGGTATACTGAAGGTTGATGTTGCTGGGGAAGCACATAGGTCTTGGTCTGCTAATGTGAAGATGCAAGTATTCAGATGACTTATGCAGTGAGTATATTTTTCCTGGGTAGGAGATGTGGTGTGGGAGGCTAATGTTCTCTTCCGACTGGAATTCATGAGACAATCTATAAACATTTCTTTCATTTTGAAGAGCACAGGTGTTTATGGAGTCAATCATCCAGGCTACACACAAAATCTAATCTTTTTTGAAAGCCTATAGCTTGAACATCAATGGGTCCCAGACTTGAGTCAGACTGATAGAATAAGCAGATGACAATTTTAAGTGCATAGCTCTGCTCTGGGAAGAGGCAGCCTTCTTTCAGTGTCAAGTGGTTCCTTCACTTACCATCATCTGGTTTTGGCTGAGTCATTAGAGAGCACAGCTGAAGCTAAATAGGTAACTTAGAGCACAGAGAGCCAGGACAATGAGTGAACTCTTAGCAGGTCCTGTTTGATGCAGCAAAGTCCACCTTTAGCAAAGGTGTCAAGCCAACAGCAAGAGAGAAGAGCTGTCCTAGGCTCCAGTACTCCTGAGGGACTCAAGTCATACACACTCATTCCTGCAGCTTTAGTAACTGGTCAGATGAACCAAGAGCCACCCGGTCAGTTAGGCTCCTTGTATCCATGCAGTTCCTGAATCTTGAAGATGTAGTTTTGACTTTGACATTTCTATGCACTCCCCCCAGATCCAGGGTATTTTAAGTATTAAAAAAAAAGAAGAAAAAATAAAAATGACAACAAAACTTGTGTTTTGTGTTTGCACTACATAGGGTCTTAGACAAAAATACATGTCCCTTCTAGTATTGCAGAGGAGGAGCAAATTGTTGCCTTGACCACAATCCTTCCCTACATTAAATAAAACAATTTCAGCAAGTCATAATTAATTTAATAGTCTATGCAACTAGGTACAGACATATATTGTCAATATAAGTGCAGAAAGTTAGCATTTATGCAAAGAAAATTCTTTCAACCTGGCAAATCAAGGTAAGTTTTTGCAAGCAGCTGAAATAGAAACACTCGAGTGCAGACAGAC